AGAGTAGAGTAGAGTAGAGTAGAGTAGGAGTAGAGTAGTCCTTCTTTGAGGGCTCCATACAGGCATCTCAATAAATACAGATAAAAAGCTCAATACAAAACAAACAAGCCACAAAAACAAAAGGAATGTTTAAAACAACTTCAGAGTCTGTTGAAAAGGAAAAGAGTTTCTTATTTTAAAGAGTTTAAAGTGGATGTTGCAAATGGAATGAATGATATCTTGTAAATGTTTTTCAAGGCCAGAGGAACTTTATTCCTTCTGCCTGATGGGAGCACCTAAAAATAATTTMTTTCCACTGTCACCTCTGTGCAGCTTAGGACCAGATTTTTGATGAAGTGAACATAACCAGCTGACTTCCATAGATATATAACTTTTACTAATTGGTATTTCATAAATCTACATTTTGTTATTTACCTGTGAGCTTCTGTTAACAGCAATAAGAGCATTTACTGGTTCTACATCATGTGTCAAACTTAAGGCCTGCGGGCCAAATGTGGCCTGCCATGGCATCTTATGTGGCCAACAAAAGCTTCAAAGATTTATAAATGTCTTAATAAATGTATACTGTTTTAAAGCCAACATTGATCTTAAACTACATTTTCCATAGCCTGGCCCTTGCCTTCCTACGCAGTTCCGCTCAGTTCCCAGTCCTTCACTGCTCCGTCTGGGATTTCTCCCATAGACAAGGATTTCTTCAGCAGAATTTTGTTTGGGCCAGTCAGAGAACAGAAGGCAGGGTTTTGAATTACAATGTTGATTTTCTGCGCAGTGTCTGCTTGTAGTTTATTTTACCTGGACCAATCGGCAAACAGAAGGCAGAGTTTGAACGACGTTGATTTTCTGCACAGTATCTGCTTGTGAGTTTAGCAATGGCAATAGAGGAAGTGAATGAAGCCAGTCCATGTTGATAAGGCTTCCATATTAAATTAAATTTGTCTGACAAAGCAGCAGCTCTCATTTACAATTGTCTCGTTCTGCTCGGTACTTCTCTCCTCTCAGTAGGGTTGTTTACAGCGCATGCAGTTTCCGATTAGCTTCTTAGCTTAGTCTCCTTCACTGTGGAGCTGGCATACACATACGTCGCAGCCAACAGATCCAATCATTTTATACTTCAACAGAGGCCACGCCTCCAGCAAGAATTGCTTCTCTGTAGCCAAGAGTCCAGACCCTTGTACAAAGCAAAGCGAAGGACAAGGGGCTGGTTTTAACCAGGCTACATCTTCCATAATGKATGTCTATTATTTTGCATGTGCAGTGACAATGYCCCACCACTAGGTGGAGCTGCACAGAGTTTAAAAGTAGCTGGCGAGATTCAACGTGTAAAATTTTTATTTCACAACATTTTCACTGGCTACTTTTGCTGCAGCCCACTTGTATTGGGAAGTGGGAATTTCCAACTTAGAAGTCATAAATTTAAACTGGAATACCCCCTCTAGTAGGAATTCCCTGTTAGAAAGTGGTAGAGTTCAGAATTCAAGAAAGCAGCTACTCACCACAATTCAACAGTGAGTAAAACTCTGAGTTTTACTTTTAACAGTATTTCTGGGCAGCTGTGGTGGAGTGGTTAGGGGAGTCGTCCTGGAACCAGAAGGTCGCTGGTTCGATCCCCCATCCAGCCGCTTTAATCGTTGTGTCTTTGCCTACTGATGGTGGTCAGAGGGTCTGGTGGCACCGGTGCATGGCAGCCCCACCTCTGTCAGTGTGCCTYAGGGCAGCTGTGGCTACARTGTAGTTTGCCATCATCAATGTGTGAATGTGMRTGTGAATGGGTGRATGTCTGTAAGTGTAAAGCGCTTTGGGGTCCGGAGGAACTTGATAAAGCGCTCTATAAGTTCAGTCCATTTACTATTTCAGTCAGTCCATTTATTTCACATTTAGTAAGTCGTACATGTAATACTTTTCAGTGTTTATAAGAGGAYATGTTAAACACTGTTTCTATGCAGAAAATACCACATAGAGCTCAGTTGGTGTTTGTTATTGGTGCYCAGCTGTAGTACTGAGACGAGGAACATGATGTTTCATGTTTAGTTGATTAAACATTGAAGTTAATTACAGCTGGCACTTTGAGGCCACCATAATATCATGTGGCCCTCAGTGACAATAAGTTTAACTCCCCTATTTTACATGGTAAACTTACCAGTCTTTTATGTTCCATGCAGCTGGGTCTTTGAACACTGTAGGAGTAGTAATTTAGAGTTGCATACTCCATCAGGGCAGCGAAGACAAACAGGAAGCAAACTGTGACAAAAAGGTCCATTGCAGTGACATAAGACACTCTGGGTAACGATGTCCTGGCGACAGTACTGAGTGTGGTCATGGTGAGTACTGTAGTTATACCTGGAAGAGCAGAGGAATTTAAAAGCTCACTGCAGGTGCTGCTCACAAACAACGATGAACTCTGTTCTGCTTTCACTTAAAGCTTAATTTTCAGTGAGTGTAACATGAAACATTTAAAAGRAACTTCTAACTAATAAAGCAAGATTTTTTGACAAAATCTACAAGGACAAAAGACAACGTACAAAATCACAATCACTTAAAGCAGTTTAACAGAGGAGAACCAGATAAGCTTGTTGGATGTTGATTTAAATTAACCTCACAAGCCTTTCTGAACACTTTAAACATAAGGCTGAGATTTATATTTAAAAAAAATGTAAAAAGCCAAATTCTCACTCTATACAGAGATCACTGACAAAACATGATWTCACACACATACAGTTTTCAAAATAGACTGAGGATTATAAATAAATGGTGTGTTTTTCTGTAGATATTCTGTTGTATTTATTTACTTTTTGCTTTTCAAGAATTTTTCAAATTCTAATATTGTATTGTTTTCTGGAGTCTACAGACTTTAAGCAGTAGGTATAYTCTTATTTTTGATGAACCTGAAAGCAGCCACAACACATATAAAGATACTGGTTAACAAACTGGTCTCATCTAYGTATTTTAGCTTAACAACACTTTTTTTCTTAGCCTCTGCCCTGCCACTGTGATTACCTGTACCTCTCTTCAGTTGATGCTGTGACACACATTTAGARGGTTTTATGCAAAACAATACAGTGAACAGCTGGTAAAACTCAGAGGCATTTATATTTGCTGACRGTCTAAGGAAAATTAAATTGTGTCATCCTGCAGTGCCCTAAATTTTCAGTAAATTTTCATATAGAAACATACATAAAAAATAGGCACGTAAAACATGTTAACTGCTGAGTACCTGTCGGATAATAGGACTCAAACATAAGATTGAAAACTTGTAGCCCTTGGCTTAAATCAACCGAGGTATCATGTGAGTTTACTAAAACACTCTACTGTATATGTGTTTTGCGGATTTTGAAAAGGGTTTTGACCGTGTTCCTTGAGGTAGAGTGTGGGGGGTACTCTGTGAGTATGGGATTGTGGGTATGTTTTCACGGACCATTCAGTCCCTAAGCTGAAAGTTTGGTCCGAAATGCCAGCAGTAAGCCCTTTAAGCGCAGGCCTCTCTTGCAAACAAGTAGGTTTCTCTGCAGTACGGCCCCCTTCAGGGTGGAAGTTGRTYTCCAACTTYCACTCCAACGYCARGGCTGCCCATTGTCACAGATTCTATTCATAWCTTTTATGGACAGATTTTCTCGGTGCAGCCAGGGGRCAAAGGGAGTTCGGTTTGGTAGCCTCAGGATTCCATCTCTGCTATGTCTGCAGATGATGTAGTCCTTTTGGCGTCACTGTGCCAYGATTTTCAGCTCTCCCTGGTGTGGCTTGCAGCCAGGTTTGAATCAGCTGGGATGAAGATCAGTGCCTCCAAATCTGAGTCGATGATCTTTAGTCAGATAAGGGTGGATTGCTCTCTCTGGGTTGTGGGGGCTTAAGTGGAGGAGTTCAAGTACCTTGAGGTTTTGTTCGAGTGAGTGAAGAATGGAGCGTGACATTGACAGACAGATCGGTGTATCTTCTGCAGTTTTGCGGACTCTGTACAGGTCTGTTGTGGTAAAGAGGGAGCTAAGCTATAAGGCGAAACTCTGTTTACAGATCRGTCWACATTCCTACCCTCATCTATGGCTACATACTTTGGGTAGTGACTGAAAGAACAAGAGCACAGTTTAGTTATCCAGGCGAAACTCAGAGTAGAGCTGCAGCTTCTCCACATTGGGAGGAGCCAGTTGAGGTAGTTCTGGCATCTGTTATGGATGCCTCCTCGACGTCTCCCTAGGAAGGTGTTTTAGGTATGTCCGACTGAGAGAAGACACCTGGGATAACACAGGGCATGCTGGAGATACTATGAATTTAGTTTGGCCTTGGAATCTTCCCAAAAGAGCTAGAAGAGGTGGCTGTGGAAAGAGAGGTCTGGGCCTCCCTGCTCAAGCTACTGCCCTCAAGACCCAACTCTGGAACATGTGGTAGATAATGGATGGATGGATGGCTTACTCAGCCAGTCACACACATACTGCATCATAGAATCCTTGACTACCTTGGAAAATGACCCCTCTACAATGTAAACAATTAGCCAGAAAAGGGATGATCTTTGCAGGATCTTATAGACGTCTTYAGGTGTGTATTAGGAAATCAGTGGCTTCCACGCACCAAACCTTCATAGAGAGATATGGTTTATCATTGTGGTGACAGCTTATCCATAACATGGTTTCTGTACATACAATAGTGGCTTTTATCAATGAAATTTTGATAAATGGACTGGTCGCAGGATACAAATGTGATCATGAAAATGTCATGGAAACAAACTTGCCTAGATGYGATACCTGTGGRAATTAGRGTTGGGCAATACTGGCAAAAAGATTAATCATGATTAATTGTGGTATTTAACCGATAACGATTAATTTGACRATTAATGCCCTGGAGTCCCTGGACACCGGTCCTAGTCACATGACCAATTTAGTGGGAAAGATTTGCTCTTCTAAAATCTTTTCCAAATTGTGTAAAAATTACAGACTTCAGACTATACATCAAATTGTAAATTGTGTTGATAGATAAATTACAGAGGTTTTTTTTTGATGTTCATCATATTTGAAGCGGAGAGGAGCACCAAGCGGACGACTGACTGGTGAAATCTCCTGTCAGTCAGCCTGGTGGCATTAATTGTATTAATCGTTAAGTGCCAAAAAATAATCGATTAATGTTTTTCTGACGATTAATTGCACACGATACGATTATGCCCAACCCTAGTGGGAATAGGGTTTTGGTAGCCTAGCATGATCTAGACTGCACCCACATAGCAAAATTTGTGTGCCCCAGGTCCACACAAGGCACACTTTAACACTTGGACCAGATAAMGCATAGAAGGATAGACTTTTGGTGGCCCAGATGTGGTTTTCCAGAGATGGACTCCTCCCCAACCCGGAGAAGGCACCCTACCCTTTTCCAGAGGCAACTTCACAATTTACTGGGAACTGCTCCGGTGAGAGCTGAAGATCACGATTTGATGAAGCCAACAGGACCACATCATCCGCAAAAAGCAGAGATGCGATCCTAAGGTCACCAAAACAGATCCCCTCAACACCTTGGCTGCCTAGAAATTCTGTCCATAAATTTATGAACAGAATCAATGACAAAGCGCAACCTTGGTGGAGTCCAACTCTCACCGGAAACGTGTCTGCCTTACTACTGGCAATGCGGACCAAGTTGGCACCAGTTGTACAAGGACCTAACAGCCTGTGTCAAGGGGCCTGGTACCCCATACTCCCAGAGTACCCCCCCACATGACTCCCCGAGAGACACAGTTGAATGCTTTTTCCGAGTCAACAAAACACATGTAGACTGTTTGAGCAAACTCCTATGTACCCTCCAGGACCCTGCTGAGGGTGTAGAGCTGGTTCAGTATTCCACGACCAGGACGAAAACTACACTGCTCTTCCTGAATCTGAGATTAACTAAACAACAGACCCTCTTTTCCAGGATCCCTGAATAGACCTTACCAGGGAGACTTAGAAGTGTTATCCCCCATAATTAGAACACACTCTGCGGTCCCCCTTTTCATATAAGGGGACCACCACCCTGGCCTTCCAATTCAGAAGAGCTGTCACTGATTTCCACGCAATATTGTATTTTTTAATTCCTTTTATAATAAATGACCACAAAAGGCAGTTTTCTTATTTAATTCTTGCGCCACATTATTTGAGAAAACCCATGACAACAGCACGACAACAGCAGCAGGTGATACTGATACTATCCCTCAAAACAACTGAGTGACAATTAAACTAAATATTTCATCTAATATAGAACTTGAATTAACTATGTGAACAATTATTTAACTGAAAACACAGGAAAAAAGGCAGATTGAGTTACCTTTACAAACGTCACTGGACTGCACAGAAACAGAGAGCACACACAAAAAGGCACAACAAAATAGAAGGAGCACAATGAACGATTCAAGTGGCAAATAAAATTCCAATCAATGCTGGTAAACATAGATTAGGACAAAGCAAAGTTAGAGCAGAAAAAAATAACAAAAATGTGCAAATTAAAATGTGTAAAGTAGAAGAAAGATATGAATAAAGTACCAGTATTTCCAGGTCTACTGAAACTCACAGTACCTAAAGCTGTTCTGGCTGGAGTGGCATCCTTTTTGATCCAGAAGGACACCCAGGAGAGAACCACAGTGAGTATGCAGGGGATGTAAGTCTGAATGGTGAAGTAGCCCATTCTTCTGCTCAGGTCAAAGTAAACTGTCATCACCACATAGTCACCTGGAGATGGAACAAAACAATATCMTAACTTAACAAAAAAAACTGATCACTTTAAAACGTATTAAAACTTATTAAAATAATTTGTTAAAAGATGAGGCTCTTCCAATTCTATTTAAAAAGAAAACTACATAAGGACATAGAAAAAACATACTGTTACTGATTAATGTATAAATGCTCAATATTTAAGCAGGCTTTTAGAGTAAAAAATGAGACAAATTAATCCCTTTCACTGAAGTAGTAGTGTACTCAAATTCACAAATGTTGCAGCACATCCTTTTTTATTTTTTACATTGTTATGCRACATTGTGTKGACATCGGGGGCAGTGCCACTGTATTGTYAGACTAGGGTGGTGGTTCCCTTCTGRAAAAAGGGGAACCAGAGGGTGTGTGTGAATTATAGGGGTATCACCTCGCACTGAGACTGCACTGCTTAGAGGAGTGTCCACCAGGTGGTGGATTGGGGATCCTTGTTACTGATGTATAGGGGTGTGCCTGAATAAGCTGAAAGGTGAATAAGAGCTGCGAACCAAAGGCAACTGCAGATGATGGCCTATTTGCAAATGATGTAGTCAGAGGATGCAACTCCTGAAAAGGAAACGGCGAAAAGAAGAAAAA